AGACCTGTTGGCTCTATATGCAAACTGCAGGGGGTCCAGGAGGGGACCGTGAGGGTCCTGAGATGGGAGAGAACTAGGCGCTCAAAAGACTTCATGACCACAGATGTCAGAGCCACGGGTCTGTAGTCATTTAGTCCAGTGATCCTAGGTTTCTTGGGGACAGGGATTATGGTGGAGGACTTGAAGCAGGCAGGCACATGACATGCCTGCAGTGAGGAGTTGAAAATGCCAGAAAACACTGGGGCCAGCTCGTTTGCACAGTGTCTGAGGGTGGCAGGAGACACGCCGTCTGGGCCGGGAGCTTTCCGAGCATTCAGGTTCTTAAACTGCTTCCTCATTTGTGTTTAATTTAGTGTAGGAACATGAAAGTAGATGTTGGTCTGACTGGACCAGACCTGGCAGATACTGTTTACTTTGCCCTTACTCCTGCATTCTTAGATTCTTTGCTAACTCTAACCCTTTGTTTAGCTTGAACAATGTTTTCCACAAGCCCTCTAACTCAGTTAAAGTCAATGCCTTGAAGGTGTCGTATCTGCTTGTTAGTTGAATTGCCTAGACAAAAAAAAAAAGCTGTTCAACATTGGGGAGAAAAACAGGACATATAAGTAGAAGTTGCTAACGTAAATGTTAACGAGCTTCCGTGCTTATGTGTTCTTCAGTACTGACGAATTCTTCGCAATTACTCAACGAGCTCCACGGGGGAAAATGAAACTGAAGTTCAGTCTCTGTCCAATAAATACATTTCACAGTTAAATCAACACTTTCACACTGTGTCACACTGCGTATTGCTGTTGCATCTTTGTATTTAACACTGTGTCCAGTATTAGGACTTACTTACAGCTTACTACAGCTGAGCACTCCAAAGTGTTGCTTATGAACTTGGGGGGATCTGGGAAACTGTGATAACAGTGACTCTGCTGCACATCACACTGCAGCACTTTGGAGATCAAATAAGAGGTGCACTGCCTCACCCGTCCTCACCCTCCGACACACAGATATGCACCAAGAGAGGAGCGACTACACAGAACAAACAAACTATACAGCGGCTCTGCGGCAGATCATGGCATTGTTTGAAGCAGGCATTAGATTTATGCCCTAATAAGCAATTTTGATAATCTCTCTCTGTGTTCCCTACAACAAAGAGGAAGAGGGGGATGGGTTCGCTGTAAGCGCCTCCACATTTTCCACACTCGCTTCAGAAAGTGGGACAGAGTCAAAACGATGCGTTGTGCGGCGAGCACTTGGTGACTGAGTCACATGATGCTTGACAAAACCTATTTGATGCTTATTAAGAAAATGACCTGTCGGCAGTAAGCCTCAGTGGCTCTTGGGGGATGACAAAGGAACAGCAATGAGTCACGCAGTGACATTTAAAACTAGAATCCGTGAAAGAAGAAGAAAGATATGCCACACTAAACTGTTGCAGTGCCGCCTGTCTGTTAATGTCTCGCAGCACACTTCATAGCCTTGGCTGAATTAGTTTTGCAGCAGCACAGACGCTTGACAGTGATTGGAAAAGCTTCTGTGGTTGACCCAGCAACACATCATGGAACCTCATATACATATGTGTGTGTTTTTGTGTGGTAAACACCTCTTTCAGTGTGTGTGTGAGAAGCGATTGTCGGACTCAGTGTCAGTAGGTAATTTGGCGCGTCAGCGGGCTGGGCTCCTGTACGAGGGAAGCTGTTATTTCCGTTAAAGCCCTCCATGCTTGGTTGGTTTGGTTAGGAGCAGCGTGAATGGACAGTGGCACCTGGGTGATGGTCACAGTGGGTGTGTGATGGTGAGCAGCAGGGGATTTTGTTCAAGGCCGGCTGTGTGCAGACTCACATAGGAGTGAGGAACAGAGGAGATGAACAGGCTGCTTACAGAGGGAATTATTCACACTGAAAGTACAAGTAAGCTGAATGATTTATGTCCTGTCCTTGTTATTTTATGGAGCACTTTGCCAGTGTCGCAACACCATCATTCTGTTGGAAGATAAAGCACAGACAGAAGAGGCAGCACAACGAGGTTACTTGTGCGAATCACACATTTTTCTTATTGCAAATGCCATTTATTATGTTTTGCTGTATAAAAATAGTTTCTATCTCTCATTGTTAAAGTAGTGCTGTGAAACAAAATCATTGTCATTGGGAGCTATAGCATTAGCCAGGATAAATGCCTATCCCACAGAGGCATGTTACAGTGTATATATATGTATGTGTGTATATGTAGGGATGGGTATTGATAAGATTTTCACGATTCCGATTCCATTTTCGATTCTTTATCGATTCTTTTAAAAAGGAGAACACTAAGGTCGATTAGCTTAGAACTTTGTTTTATATCTTCTCTTTGAACAAGAGAAATTTAGGAGTAACATGGCCTTACAAACCCAACAGTGAGATCTTAAGAGATCCAGCCTACGGCTCTTCAATGGGGTGTCACAGGGTCCCCAGGAAATTTTTTTTAAATGTAAAACAATAAAATAAATTTAAATTTAAAGTTCATGCATTTATTACTTCTTATGGACTACTGTAATTCATTATTATTGGGATGTCCTAAAAACCAACCTTTAGTTAATCCAAAATGCTGCAGCTAGTGTACTGACAGGGACTAGAAAGAGAGAGCAGATTTCTCTTGTATTGGCTTCCCTTCATTGGCTTCCTGTTAAATCCAGAATTGAATTTAAAATTCTTCTCATCATATATAAGGTCTTGAATAATCAGGTCCCAACATATCTTCATGACCTTCAGTTTTCAGGCCCTCTTCTGTGGAACCAGCTTCCAGTTTGGATTCAGGAGACGGACACTATCTCTACTTTCAAGATTAGGCTTCAAACTTTCCTTTTTGCTAAAGAATATAGTTAGGGCTGGACCAGGTGATGTTGTAATAGACGTACAGTGGGGCAAAAAAGTATTTAGTCAGCCACCGATTGTGCAAGTTCCCCCACCTAAAATGATGACAGAGGTCAGTAATTTGCACCAGAGGTACACTTCAACTGTGAGAGACAGAATGTGAAAGAAAAATCCATGAATTCACATGGTAGGATTTGTAAAGAATTTATTCGTAAATCAGGGTGGAAAATAAGTATTTGGTCAATAACAAAAATACAACTCAATACTTTGTAACATAACCTTTGTTGGCAATAACAGAGGTCAAACATTTACTATAGGTCTTTACCAGGTTTGCACACACAGTAGCTGGTATTTTGGCCCATTCCTCCATGCAGATCTTCTCGAGAGCAGTGATGTTTTGGGGCTGTCGCCGAGCAACACGGACTTTCAACTCCCGCCACAGATTTTCTATGGGGTTGAGGTCTGGAGACTGGCTAGGCCACTCCAGGACTTTCAAATGCTTCTTACGGAGCCACTCCTTTGTTGCCCGGGCGGTGTGTTTTGGATCATTGTCATGTTGGAAGACCCAGCCTCGTTTCATCTTCAAAGTTCTCACTGATGGAAGGAGGTTTTGGCTCAAAATCTCACGATACATGGCCCCATTCATTCTGTCCTTAACACGGATCAGTCGTCCTGTCCCCTTGGCAGAAAAACAGCCCCATAGCATGATGTTTCCACCCCCATGCTTCACAGTAGGTATGGTGTTCTTGGGATGCAACTCAGTATTCTTCTTCCTCCAAACACGACGAGTTGAGTTTATACCAAAACGTTCTACTTTGGTTTCATCTGACCACATGACATTCTCCCAATCCTCTGCTGTATCATCCATGTGCTCTCTGGCAAACTTCAGACGGGCCTGGACATGCACTGGCTTCAGCAGCGGAACACGTCTGGCACTGCGGGATTTGATTCCCTGCCGTTGTAGTGTGTTACTGATGGTGACCTTTGTTACTTTGGTCCCAGCTCTCTGCAGGTCATTCACCAGGTCCCCCCGTGTGGTTCTGGGATCTTTGCTCACCATTCTCATGATCATTTTGACCCCACGGGATGAGATCTTGCGTGGAGCTCCAGATCGAGGGAGATTGTCAGTGGTCTTGTATGTCTTCCATTTTCTGATGATTGCTCCCACAGTTGATTTTTTCACACCAAGCTGCTTGCCTATTGTAGATTCACTCTTCCCAGTCTGGTGCAGGTCTACAATACTTTTCCTGGTGTCCTTCGAAAGCTCTTTGGTCTTGGCCATGGCGGAGTTTGGAGTCTGACTGTTTGAGGCTGTGGACAGGTGTCTTTTATACAGATGATGAGTTCAAACAGGTGCCATTCATACAGGTAACGAGTGGGGGACAGAAAAACTTCTTACAGAAGACGTTACAGGTCTGTGAGAGCCAGAGATTTTCCATGTTTGAGGTGACCAAATACTTATTTTCCACCCTAATTTACGAATAAATTCTTTACAAATCCTACCATGTGAATTCATGGATTTTTTTTTCACATTCTGTCTCTCACAGTTGAAGTGTACCTCTGGTGCAAATTACTGACCTCTGTCATCATTTTAAGTGGGGGAACTTGCACAATCGGTGGCTGACTAAATACTTTTTTGCCCCACTGTAGGATGCTGGGGGACTCCCATGATGCACTGAGTGTTTCATTCACTATGTGTTTATACACCTCTCTGCATTTAATTATTAGTTATTATTAATCTCTGGCTCTCTTCCACAGCATGTCTTTGTCCTGTCTTCCTCCCTGAACCCTACCCGGTCGCGGCAAATGTCCGTCCCTCCCTCAGCCTGGTTCTGCTGAAGGTGTCTTTCTGTGAAAAGGGAGTTTTGTCATTCCCATATGCTCAAAGGGTTCATTTGATTGTTGGGGTTTTCTCTTTTTGTTTTTGTAATGTTGTAGGGTCACCTTACAATATAAAGCGCCTTGAAAAGCTCTTGTTGTGATTTGATGCTATATAAATAAAATTATATTGAGTTGTGTTGAACTGAGGAATATCAAGTTTCACAAAATCTGACTGTATCTCATTAATATTAATTAGCACCTCACTTTTCAGTCTCAGTACTATGTTGCTGCTAACAGCAGCATTTCTCTCGTCAGTCTTAACATTTTTTTGTTTGTTTCCAGGAGTCTACACCTTTGGCCTCTTCACTGTTGACATCTTTGTCAACGCAGGGCAGGTAGTGACAGGAAACCTGGCACCGTACTTCCTGACTGTCTGTAAGCCAAACTACACAGCACTGGGTTGCCAGCAGGCCCTGCGCTACATCAGCCACCAGGAGGCCTGCACAGGAAACCAGGACGACATCCTACGTGCCCGCAAGACTTTCCCATCCAAAGAGGCTGCGCTTAGCGTCTATGCTGCACTCTACCTAGCTGTGAGTTTTTCTTACATCCAGCCATATGTGTTTAGTATAATCCTTTTGTTGTCTCTGATTGTATCACCTCCGTTTTGTTTGCGAGGGAGCTGGCGTTGGTGAGAAAGATGGATGGAAATAGGGTTTGTTTTGTTGTTTTTGCTGCTGGACGTGATAGCCCCGCTCTGCATCCCTGCTTTTGTTTCCGTGTCACCTATCTCTGCACAGTCTGTGTCGCTTGCTGTTCCCAACAGTAACCCACAGGGCGCCTGGTAGTCTCACAATCTCAGGTGGGTTACTGCTATGCAGCAGAATTCATGGTTCCATTTACCACAGCAAGTCTTCTAGGTCCTGAGCCAGCAAAACAGCCCCAGATCATCACAATACCACCACCATATGTTACTGTTGGTATGATGGTCCTTTTGTGAAGAGGTGACTTCCAAAAAGTTCAGCTTTGTCTCGTCAGTCCACAGAATATTTTCCCCAAAAGTCTTGGAGATAATCAAGATGTTTTTTGGCACATGTAACACTGTTGTGTTCTTTTTGGTTAGCAGTGGTTTTCTCTTTGAGCTCTCCCATGGATCCCATTTTGCCCAGTCTCTTTCTTATTGTTGAATCATGACCTCTGACCTTAACTTAGACATGTGAAGCCTGCGGTTCCTTAATTATGTTCTGGGTTCTTTTGTGACCTCCTGGATGATTGGTTGACGTGCTCTTGGAGTAATTTTGGTAGATCAGTCACATTTTATTTATATAGCGCTAAATCACAACGGTTGCCTCAAGGTGCTTGTGTAGTGAGATAGCCACAGGCAGGAATGATTTCCTGTGTTGTTGAGTGGTGCATTTGGGCAATCTTAGTCTTTAAGTAGGGCTGGGCGATATGAACCAAAATTCATATCTCGATATTTTTTAGCAGGATGGCGATATAAGATATATATATCTCGATATTTTTTTAAAGCCATAAGGTACGAACAAAAAGAGAGTTCTTAGTCAAAGCTGTGTCCCAGATGTCACACAGGCACTTTTATTAACATACATAGATGTACATGAAAAAAACTACTCAAAAATAAATTATGAGCATTTATTATATAATAAAAGTGCTCCATAAATAAAACAAAACTGTTGTTTTTGTGCATAACAAAGAGCTCACAATTGTGCAGTCAAAATGTAAACTAAAAGACGCTGAGCATAATAACAGAGACAGATTTCACAGTTCGTGACTGACAGCCTGGAGTTTGAAATCTGCTTCATAACCGTGTCTCTTACAGGTGCCATTTATGTTCCTTATACACACACACAATACGGTAATATTACGCTGAAGCATAGTACGTATCACTTCGCGAGGCTCCTCGGTAGCCGTAATGCTCCGACTATCCATCAAGCCGGTGCAGCTCCGTAGCTTAGCAAAGTCGTACTAAAACATTTTTGACCCTGAACAACTAGAATTCATACATAAGGCGCACTGTCGATTTTTGAGAAAATGAAAGGATTTCAGGCCGTGCATGGCGTTAGCGTGGTTAGCTCGTTAGCGTGGTTAGCTCATTAACACATTGATGCCATCCAGCCCCACGCACGGGGCGATGCGCAGTAACTCGTTAACGGAGATTTGCCGTGCCCATCTTGTCGCTGCCTGCAGGTGAAGCGATGGGGGAGGAGGGGGAGTTGTGTTCAGTGAAGGAGAGGTGAGGTCGAGTAACATTGCGTAAAGACAAAAGTGGATGAAAGAGAGGCAAACTTGTGGCTCCACAACTATAATTATAACGTAACATAGACTATATCGATATAAAAGATATTGTCACATCTTACATCTCGTATAAAAATATATCGATATTTTTAAAAAACTCGATATATCGCCCAGCCCTATCTTTAAGTGAACATGCCCCTGTGACTGGCTAGCACCTACTGGAGTGGGTGGGAGGCATTTTGCAGCATTGTCCTTATCTTGGAAACCATGAAACAGCATAGAGGATGGCATTGATCACACAGACTCAAAGAATATCCTGAGCATGGTCAGATGTTAAAAGACCTCAGCTACCTTGGCTCTGGCCTGTCCTGCACTGTGCAGTGATGCTTTTTTACCAGTCCAGTTTATTGTTTATCAAACTTACCTCATACAAACACTTTTTTCCATGCTTTTTTGCTCAAGTGCTTTCAGTCTGACATTCACACACATACATACACTGATAGATGCATCGGAGAGCAACTTGGGGTTAGTATGTGACCAAAGAATAGTTGGTCCTGGAGACTGAAGCAGCAACAACAACCTTCCAATTACTAGATGACCTGCTCTACCTCCTACAGCCATCCTGTGTGACTGTTGATTTATCCTTTAAGCAAAGCACAACAATGAAACCTTTTCAAAAAAGCTTCCAATGCTTTCTGATGATCTGATTTGTTTGATTTTCTGTGTCAGAACCAATGTGTACCCAAGTGCCCATAAGTGATCGATGCATGGCTTTGGACGATCACTGCCTGCCTGCATGGTGAGGAGAACAGATTGTCTCTGTTATATAGGTCATTTAGCACAGGCCAATGTGTGTGTCCAGGACATACATGCAGTTTGCACACACTGACACACACAATACTGCAACTCCAAGAAGATGATGAAAATTATCCCTCTTGTTGTCTTAGTCATTACAGCAATGCCAGGGTCAAACACAGCAATCCAGAGTCTGTTGAATCAGCTGTAATTGCTCCTAGAGCAGGGCGATATGACCAAAAATATTTATCACCATACATTATAACTGACGATATAATTGACACTAGACAAAATACTTTACAACTCCACAACTTTATTAGTGCAAAAAAAACCAACCCATCAATGTATTTTCACTTAAACAAGCAGCTGTTTTTTAAGTGCATTAAAGTTATATAAAAATGTAACACTGCAAATGCAAATTCCTCGCTGACAGTTTAACCAAAAGGCATTTCCAGTGGAAACTGGCCGACATATCCTCAGCATAACCATGTATAATATCCACAAAACTTAAAAAGAGGTTATACACACACAATATGGTAATATTATGTTGAAGCACAGTACGTATCACTCCACGAGGCTCCGCCTACGATAGCCGTAATGCTCCGACAATCCATCAAGCGGTGCAGCTTCGTAGCTTAGCAAAGTCGTACTAAAACATTTGACAGATTTTCGAGCGCCGTGCACATAAAATCGTTTCGAGGTCAGTAAACACAACCAGAATTCATACATAAGGCACACGGGATTATAAGGGGCACTGACGATTTTCAGAAAAGTCAAAGGATTGATTTCAAGTGTGCCGTATTTTCCAAAAAACACGGTAATAACGACGGCCCGCTAGCATGCTCTACCAAAAATAGTGCTTTGTTGTAGAGCAGGGTGATATGGCCAAAAATATTTATCACGATACATATTTGAAAATTTGTGATAACGATATAACTGATGATATAATTGATGCGGAAAAAAATACAACTCCACAACTTTATTAGCGCAAAAAACAAACAAACATCCATTTATTTTCACTTAAACAAGAAGCTGTTTATGTGCATTAAAGTTATATAAATATTTAACAGTGCAAATGCAAATTCCTTGCTGAAAGTTTAACCAAAAGGCATTTCCAGTAGAAATGGGCTGACATATCCTGAGCATAACCATGTATAATATCCACTGAAGTTAAAAAGAGGTGCTTTGCAACATTAAACCGCCTCACGGTGCGGAATGACGAGGATTTATTGGAGCGGGTGAATGAACAAAGCAGGAATGGCAAGACTGACTAACTGACTGAATAACTGAATACAAACGGGAACGACAATACTGGCAACATCAACATCAATGACACGACAAAGAACTGGTGAAACCAAGGAACTTAAATACACAGGTCGAATGATGACAATGATTGGAAACAGATGAGTACAGGGCTGAACATAATCTGACTAATGACACAAGAGACAAGCTGACATGGGAAAAAACAGGAAATGAGAACATTAATGTGGCAAACTAAACTGAACATCAACAAACTGAAATCACTCAACGACCCAGGAACCTTGACAGTACCCCCCTTCAAAGGCCGGCACCCGATGGCCGAAAGAAAAAAAAAAAAACAGAACAAAGTTGGCGGACGGGGTCCAGGACGGAGGGACAGAGTCCGAAACAAAACAGTTCGGGGGGGTGGCCACGCGGCCTGCGGCTGAGCCAAAGCATTTCTGGTGGGCGGCCACGCTGGTGGCAATGGCGACTACTGAGCAGGTCCGGTGGGCGGCCGCAAGGAAGATGGCGGCGAAAAATATCTTGATGATAAAAATATTCTCTAGAATGACAAGACGAAAGTTGAACTTTTTGGGAGGTTTGTTCCTGTTGCATTCAGCATAACACTAACACAACATTTTATAAAAACAATCATCATACTAGCGGTCAAACATGGTGGTGGTAGTGTAATAGTCTGGGGCTGTTTTCCTGCTCCAGAACCTGAATCATTTGTTGTAATTAATGGAAACATGAATCCTGCTCTCTAACAGAAAATCCTGAAGGAAAATGTGGTTAAAGGAATTCAGCAGAGTGGGCCAAATTCCTTTCACAGTGATATAAAAGACACATTTCCTGTTATTGCAACTGCTTGTTAACCCCACAACCAGTTATAAGGTGTAGTGGGCAATTACATTTTCCTGGTAACATTTTTAGTTCCAGGTGTTTTTTATTTGACTTTGTTTTCTTTGCCTAATGTTAAAATTTGTTGATCTGAAAAATGTAAGCGTGACACATATGCAAAAACAGAAGACATCAGGAAGGGGCAAATTTATTTTTCCATGAAATTCTCATTACTTGCTTACATTCATAGTAACCAGTTCCAGGCTGTGCTGTTTCAGATAAACAGTGGGTAGTCGTCAAGTTGTGGAAGTGCCAAAATTTGGATTGGGACATTTGTCCTTAATCATCGTTCTAGCAAAAAAATTTATTTTGCTTGAACTTGGCAAAGCTCTAACACAAATAACACTAAAATCTTGTGCATTTGAAACAGGTTCCTGCCACTGTAAGATAGCTAGCATTAGCATTAGCACTGATGAGAATTAATTGGTGTCTCTTTTGATTATCATGTACAGAGATGGGCAGTAACGCGTTACTTTAATCTGATTACTTTTTTCAAGTAATGCGTAAAGTAAGGGATTACTATTGCAAAAACGGTAATTAGATTACCGTTACTTTCCTGTAGGAACGCTGCGTTACTGCGTTACTAAAACCGTGATTTTTTGCGAGAATGTCTCACGACAGTGACGTAAGCGAGTGCGACGTTCGTGACAACAGC